TAATCTGAGACATATAACTCTTTTTTAATATTCTAATGTATTTGATTATAAGAATGCYCGCTCCTGCAGCAGTGATGCTCCTTTGAAAATCAGGAGTTCACGTGCAAGTTGCACGTCTGTAAGATAACGATGACGCTTCGACACATTATTGTTCGACAAATAAAGAGTTTAGATTGTGATATCCCGAGCTGGTCGGAGCCGCGTTGCAGGTGGAGATGAGGTCAAACAGCCTCTGAGCCTTTGCTTCAAAAACAACGGTCAGGTGATACTTTTTCATCTTTCTTTTTCTTTTTCTTTCATTTTTTTCAGTGTGCAGGATCTGGTTGTCCGGAATGAAAATAGGTTTTCTTGAATGACCTAAATAACTGTTATGTCGACCCCTGGATATGTACTTGAGGTATACTTCTTTTTGGTAAGTGTACCCACATGTCCTACATCATTTCTCCCAGACTCTTCCACCTGAAATCACTTTCACAGCTATCTACTGCAGGTAGGACACTAGCTACTCCACAACGACCCACTTRAAAAAAGTGAGAAAATAAAAATAAAGTTTCTCTTCATGACCGCAAYAAATAAAGTTCACTTTGAAAATAAAAAAGTTGTGTCCATTAAAAATGTCTTTAGGCTGTTTAAAAATCAAAGGGATTATGTTCTTTACGCTCCCCCTCTTCTTTTACAACCTAACCCAACAGAGAGTTTTATGTTCTAAATCGATTCTTGTCATCTGCAGTCGATTACAAATGGAATCCAATAAAACAGGAGCGGCAGAAGCAGCTGACAGAGTGAATAATCTGAGTTTGAACCTTCATGATTGCAAAGGCCTCGGCTCACACCACTTTAATCTGCTGCCACAGATTTAAGTGGAAAAGAGAATGACGTGAGCAAATCCATCACCCAAGACGTAAAGTCAAGATTAAACCTGTGCAGGTTCAGGACGGACAAGTTCTAAGTTTTCTGTCTACAAAGTGATCAGATTCATGTCAGAGCAGTGTTCACTCTCTGGTGAAACTCACTTTATGTCCACAAGAGTAACAACTTTGTTTTTTTGTTTCTATTTAGAGACAGATGAGATAAATATTGTGGCAAATGTGAAGACATAGCGTTTGAAACCTTGAAACAATCCAGTCTTGGCAGCGACGTGTTGTTGACTGTGCGCTTTTTCAGCCTTTGTAAAAAGGCAACACTTGTGCTGCCTTCACAGTTTAACTTGAGTGCAAACTGGCAGAGCTGACGGCTTTCTGAGTCTGATTAAACACAGATTTCACGAAACAAACAAACAAAAAAGAAGCCTGCAGCTGAGCTGCACGGGACATTTTGCTCAGCAGATGGGAGAGGTGGGGTTGAGACGCTCTCGTTGCTGCAGGGCAGAGAAAAGTGCCCTGACAAGTTCTGAGCAGAGTGACACGAAATACCCAGAGGTTGAGTTTAAGTCTTTCAGTTCACACCTTTCTTTTTAGGCACATGCTGAATGAGAAACCCTAGATTTAGGGGAAACAACATGGAAAATTGAGCATGATTGGCTTTTTAATGTTAAATTATTTCAGGATTTAAAAAAAAAAAAGAAACCTGGAAAAGAAAAAACCTCTTTATCTGAAAAATCTCTTTGATCATTTGTGTTTGTTGMCAGATCCTCTGGATTGGCAGGTGGTCCCTCTATTTAAAAAGGGGGGACCYCAGAGTGTGTTCCAACTACAGGGGATCACACTTCTGAGCCTCCCTGGTAAGGTCTATTCAGGGGTTCTGGAGAGGAGGTTCCATCAGATAGCTGAATCTTGGTTTCAGGAAGAGCAGTGTGGTTTTCGTCCTGGTCATGGAACAGCGGCCCAGTTCTACACCCTCAGCAGGGTCTTGGAGGGTGCATGGGAGTTCGCCCAACCAGTCTACATGTGTTTTGTGGACTTGGAGAAGGCGTTCAACCGRYTCCCTSGGGGACTCKTGTGGGGGGTACTATGGGAGTATGGGGTACCAGGTCCGTTGATACGGGCTGTTAGGTCCCTGTATGACCGGTGCCAGAGCTTGGTCCACATTGCCAGTAGTAAGTCGGACTCGTTTCCGGTGAGGGTTGGACTCTGCCAAGGTTGTCCTTTGTCACCGATTCTGTTCATAACTTTTATGAACAGAATTTCTAGGAGCAGCCAAGGTGTTGAGAGGAACCTTTTT